CCAAACCAACGACTAATAAAATACACTCAATCTCATAGCCAAATCCGGGGTCGGAGAAAAAGACGCCCCGCCGTCCCGCCAGCAGAAAAAAAAAAGGTGCGGTGACTCTTAACACCCCCGAGAACTCAAGATTTGGTTCTTCCCCAAGCGATACACTTGCTATACATGCAGCTTGCTCTCAAGTTGACTCTCTAGTGAGGTGAGTACTGGTTCTGATATAATTGTGTGTTTGTTGAGGTTTCTTGGGTATTGGAAACTCAACAATGATAAAAGAGAGGGGCACTTCCACTATTTCATATACTATGGCTTGCCCCTCCATTCTTTCCGCCCTAAAAAGCAGTCCACCACATATGTTACCTCTCTGCAATACTATTCTCGTGAGGGTAGGAAATCCAGTTCCTAATAATTTCCTCAATTAGGTTTACTCGAGAACACTGCATTCGAAATGTCCCAAGAACAGTTGCGCGTCCTCATCGTCGGCAACGGCGGCCGCGAACATGCCCTGGCTTGGAAGCTGAGTCAATCCCCTCGGGTCGAAATCGTGTATGTCGCCCCAGGCAATGGTGGAACTGGCTTGGGGGCTTCTAGCAAGATTTCCAATGCCAATGTCAAGGGCAATGACTATCCTGGCCTAGTGGCATTCGCTCAAAAGAATGGAGTCAATTTGGTGGTTCCGGGACCGGAGGCGCCTCTTGTGGATGGCATCCAAGGATATTTCCAAGCAGGTGGGGAGAACTCAGTTACAAACAAGACAGATGACATGTTGACATTTCGATAAGTTGGTATTAGGTGTTTTGGCCCTTCCAAGGCCGCTGCGCGCATGGAGGGCTCCAAGGCCTTCTCCAAGGATTTCATGAAGCGCCATAACATTCCCACAGCTGCGTACGAGAACTTCCGCGAGTATGAGCCTGCCCGTCAATACATCGACTCCATTTCCCACAATGTTGTCATTAAGGCAGATGGCCTGGCTGGTGGCAAGGGTGTTGTTATCCCGCAGACCAAAGAGGAAGCCCACCAAGCACTCCGCGAAATGATGTTGGACCGCCAGTTCGGCGATGCCGGTAACGAGGTTGTTATCGAAGAGTATCTCGAGGGTGATGAGCTCAGTGTTCTCACCTTCAGTGACGGCTACACTATCCGCTCCCTCCCTCCTGCACAGGATCACAAGCGTATCTTCGACGGTGACCAGGGTCCCAACACTGGCGGTATGGGCTGCTATGCCCCTACCCCAATCTCTTCTAAGGAAGTCCTTGAGGAGATTGACCGCACCATTGTGCAGCCTTCAGTTGACGGCATGAGGCGAGATGGTTTGTCCTTCCACATTGGGCACAAAATTATACCAATAGAGCGCTAACTGCTTCAAGGTTTCCCTTTCGTGGGTATCCTCTTCACCGGTCTTATGATGACGAAGAATGGCCCTAAGGTCCTCGAATATAATGTTAGAGGTGGAGACCCGGAGACTCAAACTCTCCTGCCCCTGCTCAGCGATGACACTGATTTGGCGGAGATCATGGTTGCTTGTACCGAACACTGGCTCGACGGTGTCTCCATCAACGTCAAGCCCGACTTCTCTACCACCGTCATCGCAGTGGCGGGTGGATATCCTGGATCTTATGCCAAGGGCAAAACCATCACCCTTGACCCGGTTCCGGAGGACACCTTGATCTTCCATGCCGGAACCACACTCGTTGGCAACGAACTCCAGACTGCTGGTGGTCGGGTCATTGCTTCTACCGCTACAGCATCGAGTCTCGAGGAAGCTGTCCGCAAGAGCTATTCCGGCATTTCCACAATTCACTTTGAAGACATGTTCTACCGTAAGGACATCGCGCACCGTGCCTTCAGGCAAAGAGATGCTGTTGAATCCCAGAAGGAGTCTCTCACCTATGCCGCTGCCGGTGTTTCCATTGACGCTGGCAATGACCTCGTCAATCAGATTAAGAGCTCTGTTGCTCAGACCAAGCGTCCTGGTACAGATGCAGTGATCGGTGGCTTTGGGGGTCTCTTTTCTCTGGCTGCTGCCAACTCTGCCTACCACCCTCACTCCCCTACATTGATCGGAGCCATCGATGGTGTTGGAACCAAACTCAAGATCGCACACACCGTGGGAATCCACGACACGGTGGGTATTGACCTTGTAGCCATGAACGTCAACGACCTGGTCGTCCAAGGCGCAGAGCCCCTGTTTTTCCTCGACTGCTATTCTTGCGGTAAATTGGACGTCAACACGGCCTCTGCTTTCGTCACCGGTGTTGCCAACGGTTGTGTGCAGGCCGGATGTGCCCTCATTGGCGGTGAGACTGCCGAAATGCCTGGCCTCTTCATTGACGACACCTATGATGCTGTGGGTGCTGCCGTAGGTGCGATCAACACTGTTGGTGACAATGCTCGTGCTATTCTTCCAGAGACCTCCGCTATGCAAGACGGCGATGTTCTCCTCGCCTTGGCTTCCTCCGGTCCTCATTCGAACGGGTACTCTCTCGTCCGGAAAATCGTCGAACGCTCCGGATTGAGCTACAACGACCCGGCTCCTTTCTCAATGCCTTTCAGCAACGAACCTCTTTCCCTCGGCCGTGCCCTCCTTACCCCAACCCGCATTTATGTGAAGCCTCTCCTGAAAGCGCTCTCCATCCCCTCCAGCAATAAGACTACCGGCCCCTTCTCGTCAGCCATTAAGGGTCTTGCCCACATCACTGGTGGCGGTCTGGTTGACAATGTGCCTCGTATGCTGCCTTCAACGCTGACTGCGCATATCAACGTCTCTACCTGGCAGCTTCCGCCAGTTTTCGCCTGGCTTAAGAAGAACGGCAATGTCACTGCCCCTGAGATGGCACGTGCGCTCAACTGCGGTGTGGGTATGATCATCGCTGTTGAGAAGGAGGCCGCTGCCGCAGTCAAGGATCTGCTGCAGAAGGAGGGAGAGACGGTCTACGAGGTCGGTGAACTCAAGACTAAGAATGAGGGAGAGGAGGGATGTATCCTCCAGGGACTGGAGACGTGGGACGCTTAGATGCACTGTTGTATATTCATTCGGTGATATGCGATGATTCACCCTTCGGGTTTTCTTTTTTTTCCCTGATGTTTTATCTTCTTCTGATTACTGTGCGACGATGGATGAACTCAAGACCAAAGCAGATGAGAATTTTAAAAGTGAACAGATTATGCATACGTCAAGTCTATATAGATGCTAGACTAACTCGATGACTTTTGTCCGATCTCCAATGGGGCACCTGGCCCATCAACAATATCACAGAAGCCCGCGATACATAGTTACAGCTTGCTTACGAACGGGGCCCAGACTGGTCTGTGGACGGCAATGACATCATGGTTTGTACTACGATGGCTGGTGTTCTTGAGCCGCAAACGACCTACAGCTATCGATTCTTGGCCGGAGTGCGCTGTAGATGATACGCCCCTGCTGCAGAGTCTACATAGGCCCCATGAAGCAACATTAGACAATCGTGGCAAGACGCAGTCAATTTGAAGCCGAGCCCCATGTGAACCGGGCCAGAATAGCAGTGTTTTAACAGCATTTTACAATCGTGGCCAGCCCAGAGGCGAGAATTCGTTAGGGAAAAAGGTCCAGTATGGAAATAAGGATTCAAACACGAGTGTAGAACTATATGAATAGAGCTTTCACCCCTCCGTCCACATGACCCATGTACATCCTTCGCCTACGTCCCTCTTCCCCTTCTTGCTTTCAGGAACAACTTGCTGCCGGCAAAAGCGTCCGCGTCGAGCGACAAGCGTCTCAAATAAACCATCTCTATTCCACAGCTAAAACAAAGTTCCTTTTTCAGGCGATCTTCCTCCTAGTCCGAGTCAGAGAGGCCCGCATGTCGCCAGTCTCCGTTTGAAATTTTAATACAGGAAAATACGACGAAAAAACTAATCATGCGCAAGAGCTGCAGTAGGGGGTCAGTGAGGGTTGATTTCAAGGAAGGATGCAGGTGAACTATACCTTAGAAGCACTTGCGGTGAACGATCGAAGGACCGCTCTCGTCGTACTCCTGCTTGGAGATCCACATCTGCTGGAAGGTGGACAGGGAAGCCAAGATGGAACCACCAATCCAGACGGAGTATTTACGCTCAGGAGGAGCAATGATCTTGACCTTCATAGACGAGGGGGCAAGGGCGGTGATTTCCTTCTGCATACGATCGGAGATACCAGGGTACATGGTAGTACCACCAGACTAAGTATTCATTAGTGATTTGCTACTCTCTGAAATGGGCCCGAGGCCCAAGGGAGAATACATACCATGACGATGTTACCGTAGAGATCCTTACGGACATCAACATCACACTTCATGATGGAGTTGAAGGTGGTAACGTGGATACCACCGCTTTCCAGACCCAGAACGCTAGGCTGGAAGAGAGCCTCAGGAGCACGGAAACGCTCGTTACCAATGGTGATGACCTGGCCATCGGGAAGCTCGTAGGACTTCTCGAGGCTGGAGCTCTGAGAGGCGGTCTGAATCTCCTGCTCGAAGTCGAGGGCGACGTAGCAAAGCTTCTCCTTGATGTCACGGACAATTTCACGCTCAGCGGTGGTGGAGAAAGTGTATCCGCGCTCAGCCAGGATCTTCATGAGGTAATCGGTCAAGTCACGACCAGCCATATCAACACGGGAAATGGCGTGGGGGAGGGCGAAACCCTCGTAGATGGGGACAACGTGGGTGACACCGTCACCAGAGTCCAGAACGATACCGGTGGTACGACCGGAGGCATACAGGGACAGGACGGCCTGGATGGAGACGTAGAAGGCAGGGGCGTTGAAGGTCTCGAAGACGATCTGGGTCATCTTTTCACGGTTGGACTTGGGGTTAATAGGGGCTTCGGTCAAGAGAACCGGGTGCTCCTCAGGAGCAACACGGAGCTCGTTGTAGAATGTGTGATGCCAGATCTTCTCCATGTCATCCCAGTTTGTGACGACACCGTGCTCGATGGGATATCTGAGGGTGAGGATACCACGCTTGGACTGTGCCTCATCACCGACATAAGAGTCCTTCTGACCCATACCAATCATGATACTGATACAATGTCAGTGGCCATCGCTCTGGAGTAGCTAGCTGGGAGAATCGGAGGATATTTACCCATGATGACGGGGACGACCGACAATGGAGGCTGAATTTCAGGTCAGTAAATCGAGTTCCTCATGATGTGGGGCCACGCGTCACAGCTGATCCATCCAGACGGCGCTTATTTACTGCGAGAAAACAGCAAATAGCTATACCTGAGAACTTGGAGAGGGATGGCGAGCGCGGGAGGGGCATGTATCAGATTAATGCGGGGGTTGACTTACGGAAGACAGCACGGGGGGCATCGTCACCGGCGAAACCGGCCTTGCACATACCCGAACTAAGGGCAGTTTTGTCAGTATAGGAGCCAAGTCACATTTACGCATTGAGAATAAAAGAAAATCCATCTCGTCGTTGCGATTCCAGAAAACATAAAAGCTGAAGCTGCGTCGGGAAAGGAATCCTCGATCGGTGCGACCGGTGCCGGCAGCTGGTGTTTTGCTGCTCGAATGGGATGGAAAACACGGGGGGTTTTCCATCAACAAAACCATCAAAAACCAACAAGAACATACCCATTGTCAATGACGAGAGCAGCAACTTCCTCTATACGAGCGAGACAGGATGATATTAGTAACAATCGGACAAAGCGTCGGAAGGGGGAGGGGAAGAGAACAGCTAGACGCAAGGCGCTGAGGTGGCAGAAAACGTACCTTCCATGATGACTGAATAGGATTACTACGAGGGAAAAAAAAGAAAAGGAAAGGAAACAAGAATGAGAAGAGCTATTAAAAAAGGGTGGGAAGATAGGTACGAGAAAGAGGAGAGAATAAGGTGGTGATGAAGGTCAAGTTGGGTGAGTGAGTGAGAGAGGGAGAGAGTAGCAAGTGTGGTGGAAGTAAGTTGGTTGAGGTGTGGGTGGAGGAGGAGAGACGGAGCAGAATTACTGGTCGAGCGTATTTAGTAAGAAAAGCAGTAGTCGCAGAAAAGGGAAGGGGGGAGGGGGGAAGTGGTGTTAAGAAGAGGAAAAGGAGAGGTTGGCGGTAAATTTAGGTATTAGGGGGGTAAAGGCAAGTGAGTGGCCTTAGAGGAGCATGCTAGGTGAGCGTATGTGGGTAAGCCTAAATTGGACTATACGGGACCACGCTGTTCTATGATTAGGCGGCAAATAGGGGGGTTTTTTGTGGTGCCGTTGGGCCCGACTGCTGTCACCGCCACACTGTGTCAGTAATGAACCGTAATAGATTTCCGGTACGGAACAAGAGCGAGAGAAGTTGGACCAGTTGCAATCCATTCCATATTGGTTTTTAGACGTTCTTCTTTTGGACAAAAGAAAAGAAGCAAAATAGATACTAGTAGGAACGGTGTATAATTCTTCCATTCCTTCCTCGATATCCATTCCATATAGTTTCGCCCCCGAATTCCAGCAATCGTCGCCTCCAAGGTAAGAACGGTTCGGGAAGGATACCAGCTGAGGTGTCCTCTTTTCCTTCAAGCACTGCTGGATGGCAAAACCACTTGCGCATCCTCGTGGGGCAGATCCTGTGGCTGTTTACGAATGGTTCAGCCCATAGCGTCCCGGCGAACAGGGCCACAAAAGTAATCAGGGTCGGCTATCACCATAAGCTCTGGACATGATGACGATGTCGAATTTCCAGGCTTCCAGATTCTTTACGAGCACAATCCCTCTGAACCTTGCCCCTCTTTTTTTACGTTCTTCTTGCGAATCGCCATTGTCTAGGGTCTAGAAGATTGTGGGGGTCTCTGAATGTCAGGCTTATTGCTGATCTTCAACAAGTCTCTTCCAAGGGAAATTAATTCACCCCCATTGAAGGTTTGATAGGCGACGATACTAATGGCGGTCATATCCATACGCTGTCTTCCATTGCATGTGCGCGTACATACTGTGCTGCGATTCCGGCCTTACCGCCTTTTCATCCATTCCGATGAGATTCTCAAGAGTACCAATAGTACCGGTGCCCAATTCCCGGGAGGAATCGGTCGATCACTGTTGGAATATTTTCGTAATTACGGTCGTCATTCAATACCAGCCAGCTTCACAATGGACTGACAGTGTCCGCGGGGTTGGCATCCCATCGCGGGGTAGGAGGATTTTGTGCGACGAATATGTATTATGTAAGCGGGCGATACAATTTATGTACTGTATTGTATTGGTCGATATGTACAGTATTAGTTGGATGTATGCGATGCTATCCAAGTTAGATCCCGATTCCCATTATCTATTGTCACACCCTCATGTTAGAGTGGCATATCGAAATCATTCAAAAGCAGAGTTAATACACTAGATTGGCATTTCCTTGGACAATTAGGGGCTACCATGACCCCTATGCTGGCGTAACCATCTCCAGCAACTGCACATATGGCTACCAACACCATATAGTGTTGGTAAAGGGAGGAAAGGTTCGTGACTGGAAGCTCCAAGACGCATTGCATGCCGGGGAATTTTAGATCCACTACAGCTTTCCTCCGTATTCGTATCGGAGGAGCGGGTCTGCACGAGTCTGTCTTGTTCGTGCTGAGGAAGGAGATTTGTTATCTTCTCAGGCCTACTACTCCGGAGTAGTCCGCAGTAGTTAAGTATATGATCAGTCATAGCCCGCCTGCGGGTCGAGTAAGTTATGGAGGGGTAGATCTGGTACCTATCAGATTCATCTCTGTATGAAGCAGAAGAGGCGTTCCATAGTGGTCAATTCCTAAATTAATGGATTCGAGATGCGCTTCAGCTTGTTTTTGTTCAACATACAATGTATATATCTAAGGGTTTGCTGTGATGGTATTGGGCAAGCGGCGGGGAAGATTCCTGAACCATCTGGACGCATCGAGAACACCACTAAATTGCCCCTCCGAAATATTCGTTCCTTTTTTTTGTTCATTATTCAGAAGACAAAAAGAGACTCAACAACATACCCAATCTAAATTATTTTCACTACAATTTTTTTTTCTCCATTTTAGTTTTCTTATAACTCTCGTACGAATCATACCCAATTTAATTTCTTCCTTTCCCCTCCAAAAATCTAATCAAAGAAGAACCTGCCCAGCATGGACGCAAACATGAACAACCTCCTCAAATGGAGTATCAAAAACTCCACTAACCAACAATCCGACGACCCCAATGCCTCCAATACTACCACTGATGCCGCTGCCCGCGGCATCACTCCAGAGATGCTCTCCGCTCTCTTCGGCGGCCCCTCCGACGCCGACCTTATGAAAGCCTCTATGGAAGCACTACACTCCGATGAAGTTGACCTCGAGAACAAACTGATCGCATTCGACAACTTCGAACAGCTCATAGAGTCTATTGATAACGCAAATAACCTCGAGCCCCTCGGCCTGTGGACGCCGCTGGTTGAACTCCTTCAGCACGAGGAAGCAGAGATGAGACGCATGGCTGCGTGGTGTATCGGTACCGCCGTCCAAAATAACGAAAAGGCGCAGGATAAGCTCATCGTCTTCAACGCTGTTCCTAAGCTGGTCACCATGTCGACTACGGATTCGAACCCCGCTACGCGGAAGAAGGCTGTGTTCGCTCTTTCGTCGGCCGTGCGCAACTACCAGCCCGCTATGGATGAGTTGGTAAAGCACCTGCCCGAGGGATATCCTCAGGGGGAGAAGGTCGATGCTGGAGACATGGATGCTGTGGATGCCATTATGAATAGATTGCGGGCGCACCCCGTTCCTTCGTCTGCTTAAAGGATCATTCGTGCATATGGTTGTTTGAAATGTCCCAATGCCTCGCTATGGCGCGTTTTCACTACTGGCGCGATGAGGTTACTCGCACGTGCGGCTGTATGGGCTCACTCGAAGACAGACGTTTTATCCACTGCGATTGCTGTCACTCTCATTTAGTGACTGTCTGTTGAGGATGCTGACCTGAAATAACGACGACGAATGCCGGGTTGCCGTGATAGGCCCCCATCGATCTATTCCTGGGAATGATATCCCGCCTCCTCGCCTCAAGGCTACGTTTGTACAGACTGGGATCATGTTTCCTGTATTCATAGCCAGACTTGGCTTAGTTTACACATGGATGAGGGAAGACTTTGTACTTCAATCGAGCCGCATATTACAAAGGGATATCTAGATAATAAAACTCTTTACGGCCAGCTAAAGTCAACGGGACTGCTCTATGTTACTAGTATTGAACTGGTTATTATGCATCTACCGAGTCAAAATATGTTGCTGCCTGAATGCAGTACGACACCCGTTCCTGCTTCATTGTCTCCCGGTATCAAGGGCTCGGAACTCGTACTTATGCGGCCCACTTGAGTAGGGTATACAAGGAAACTGAAATCATGTAATTGACCGTATAGGCATCCCACACAAACATAATCATAACATAAGACTAGAGGAGATATGAATCGCGACTACGCTAGCCATTCAAGAGAACAAACGGGGAAAGATAGATAAACAGCTAATCATGATATAATCCCAAAATAAGCACCACATTCCCTCAGTTACTACAACGCAAGGTTGTAGGTGTAATCATCTTCTATGTTCTGTGAAATCCAGAGAACAATCGTGCTACCGAGGAAAGCAGTCAGTGAACCGTGCAGTAAAAGGCAGATATGAAGCGCATACCTCATCATGACGAGTCCATTCGCTACGATATTAGCGATTCCAAAGTATAGCGTTTGCAGTGGATATTGTTTAATGAGGTATTTAAGAACCATGACCGTCTGGGGAAGCTGTTAGTCATCATTGAATATTCACGACAGAGAGCGTATCTATCTCGCGGCATCATTCGGATCTGTAAAGGGATACTAACCACACTGCCTGCCAGACCGCCGGCCAATAGCGCAAACCCAAGGAAAAGTACAAACCGCGCTTTCCACGCGACACCACTTCCACTGTAGCTCCAGCTATCTGCGTGCAGCCGTGACTTCTCGATTGAGTTGATAACAAGCATTCCGAGCGCGGAGCAAATACCGGGGATCCAGTCGACGAATTTGACATGCACGTTTGACCCATTTCGTGAGCTGTGAGAGAATGCTGCTGCATCGACCAAGAAGAAGAAGCCGAGAGAAAACTTTGGTAGACTTCGTCAGCACGATTGCACCTTGACATAGGACGGGCAGATAAGCTCACCAATGCTCCCGATGTGTAGACGCCTGCGTTGCGGACGCTATTGTTGTTTAACCATTCCGGTTTGGAGAACCGGAAAAGACGGTTGTTGGAAACATCCATGGCGTAGCAGTCTAGAGTTTTAATCAAGTGTAAACTATCTTGTACACCAATAGAGGTAAACTTGATATGCGGATGGAGTTCGGATCTTCCGTAGCTATCGGGAAGGTTGGCGATGATGCACTTCGGCGGTCGGAAAATCACAAGACCGATACCGTCATCGCTTTACTACTACTAGCAGAGCTGCCTTGTTAATGGAACATGCATGGAACATATGACTTTCTTGGTTTCTACAAAGTCCAAATACTCGTAGGCCATGGTGGCTTTGTTCCCTGTTTGAATACAGAGACAACGTAGTATAGAATGATCAACAACTTTTTAAGTTATATTGGCGGAATGTTTCCAAAGTAATCTATTGTTTAGGTGAATGTGATTATATACATCGTAACATCATGTCTCGTTCACTGTACCAGACAGGTTCAGTTTTCCTCACAGAATAATCTCAGGAACTCATCAATATACGTCATTGCCTTTCCTTTATCCAGCAAAGGCGGCAAGTATTTCGAGCTGCCTTGACTAACAGGCGTTTCTTTCAGATACTTCCGTAGGGCGAAGGTGGATGCGCGATAGGTCGCATGGTACATCGCTTTAAACTCGTCTTCATCTGTGCTTGGGGTTGGCGTGGCCAGAGGTGCGGCTGCCGCCGTAATGCGAGGATCCTTTTCTTCGGCGTGAGAAGGAAGCATATCGTGATTATTCGGGTTCTTGTTCAAAGATCCGGACCGCGTCGTCGAGCGATTGAAGCCATATAGCCGCATGCATGTTAATATCGTACGAGAGATTGTGTTCTTGTTTTCGAGAATGACGTCTTCGGTATCCTTGGGTGCAGATGAAAGCTCAACCCTCCCATCAGATGAAGGTAACGCCGGTGAGGGTTCTCCCTCCTTCCGCAAAGAGGATTCGATGAAGGGATTGGGCGTATTCCTCTTGATCAACTCACGTGGGTGTCCCCGATTGCTGCCGGGCCTAGGATGCTCCGTACGAAGCTCTGAAGGCTTGCTAGGGTTTAGGTTCGCGCCAACGGAGAGAGATCTTGAGCGTTGTGCGGCAATTCGGTCTAATAAAGGAAGACTAGGTTCCTCAGACTCCCGCTTGATGCGGAGTATTTGTGACTGGTGTGATGACTGTAAATGGGAGTGCCCCATCAACTGAGAGACACCCGCCCCTCCTTTCTGACGCACCCTCTTATGATGTTGTGTAACCGATTCAAACAGCGTTGCCACCCGCTTACGCTTGGGGCTCGGAGAACGGATGTCTGGAAGGAATTCTGCAAGTGTTTCATGTCCAAGAAGTTCATTCGTACTTTGCGGTGTTGGGAGGGCATGCGTTCTGGTGATAAGGGACGAGGAGATGGGAGCAGCATATATTCTCAGTTCTTGTCTGATAGTTCGTAGAGCAATTTCATCAGAGCTTGCGGAAGAGGAGACGGGAGGAGTTGGAGGACGTTTCAATGACGTTGCGCTTGACAGGACGCCATACACTAGTATGTCTGTGGTGTTTGACCCTGTTTTTGTTCGTATCATGTTATCGACACTCACAAGAAGACCAACTGGGCACTGAACTGTCTGGAGCCTATCCATGTCCTCCTCTCCGAGCCAAACACCCCCAAGTAACTTGGTTTTAAGCCATTGCGATGTTTCCGCATCATTTGTATGCAATTCGAGGTTTGGCCCAACGCGCGCATATAATGGTATCAAAGCTGGGTTCACAAAGCAGCGAAGACTTAGCGTTGAGTCCCTTGTTATATCAGAATGCCAATTAGAGGATCTGTCAATTAGTTGTAGGCCTGTATAGATCTTAGTAGCTTATAGATCGAGGTTGATCGGCCGCCTCACCTCGGAGTTGAGATTGTCCATCCAGTACGATGCCACCAGACCAGATGTTCATTTTAGATATACTCTCCTAATTCAATATTTCACATCTTATAAATATATCGGATTCTCAAGAGAAAGGCACCTTGGTCAGCTGAAGAAGTAAGCGTTTCCTAGACTATATTGTAAATTACACGACGCGCCTGGAAAAAGCGGCACGTGATCACGTGATATTGACGTTTGCCAGGCATGTGCCTAGGTATTACATATTGGCATTTACATGTACCATTGGGATGCTCTCCGCAAGGGTACCTCAAAGCTCTCCAGTCTCCCTTAACACCTCTAGATAACCTCACAGCAGCTATAGTACATCAATCGTATCATTCGAATAGAATAAAAGTAAACTAATGGCTGGAATTCGCGGCAAATTTCACATAAAGGACTCTCACCATACGTCAGAACAAAGAGGTATTTCATAAAGGAATCCATGGCTCCATGAATAAGAGGAAGCCTTCGTAGGTTTGGTGAATTGGCAAATCAGATGCGACCAAGCGCACCTATGTGATTTCACCCGAACTAGTTGATACCCATGGTGACTCAAAACTCTTCCTGCTCCTTGAAGAACATAGAGAAACTAATAATTGTTCCGTAAATCAAGAGACCACCTAGGATCGACATGATCATCGCCGGGACCTGGATTGCGCCGCTATGCGCAAGTACAGCTGGGAGCGCTATAGAATATCGGAGTTAGCCATGAGACCATCCCCAAAAATAGTCTTTTTATGAATGCTAGAGCTCAATAATCGATCATAGCTCAGCGCATTTTCAATCGAACTCGGAGCAACTTACCAATGCCCATCAAGACTAGGAAACCCGTTAAGAAACGCCCAAAATCAGCTGCAGCATTTCCCGAGCTGTCCATAAAATCATCTGGGTTCGCACATCGTGAGCAGATCCAGTTGGGTAGGGGAGCAACAACGTAAGTCGCAACGACAATCAACGGTAAGAAGTTGTGCCAAAGAGCTGAGGAAAGAATGACGAGTAGGAAGCCAATGGCGAGGACCTGAATGATGAAAGAGAGATGTCAGTAATCTCCTTCTTTGTGTTTCAAATATACAATAAACAATCACTTCGATGGATCACATACGAACGACAGTGCGATAATTGTCTTAAGGCCGGCCGTCATGATGCGGAGTAACAGGACCGTCTAGGTCCAGACACTGAAAGCCGATATAATGGTATTTGGGTAGCGCAAACGGAGCTTGAGCTGGTATAGTCTCAGGGAGGTTAGTGGAGCTTGATTTGAAGGCAACGCTCCTTCAGCATGGAGACGTTAATCGAGTACCCAAGTAGTCGGAATGACCGATGCCGATGCAGTCGCTGAGGTGACGTTGGACGAACCGCAGGCGGCAGCTACAATGTGTTGGTGCCTCAGGCGGCAAGGCGGCAAGTCCACCATCAAGCAAGCGGAAGCTTTGGTAATTGCGTTGGTCACCGCGTCAGTCTCACTGCCTACTAGTACGGTAACCTCCTCCACCAGCTCTTGTCCCATCAACTATACCTCGCCGCCCCTCTTCCTCTCTGGCAGTACTTGAATATCACAATTCCTCCTCGCTCCCGATAATTACTTTCCCCAAACTTTCATAATGTTCCGGAACAACTATGATAACGATGCGGTTACCTTGTATGACGTTCCACCTAGCTCCCCGTCCCAGCTGGAGAAGCTCTATCACTAATATCGTTACTTCGGACAGCTCCCCGCAGGGTCGGATATTTCAAGTAGAATATGCGCAAGAAGCCGTCAAACAGGGATCCGTCGTGGTGGGGTTGGTTAACAAGACACATGCCGTTCTGGTCGGCCTGAAGGTTCGAAATGCCATCAACAGTTGGATTGCCGAGAAACAAACAGTGGGCGGCTTGCTAACATGAACAAATTTGTCTGGATCACTATAGCGAAATGCCGAAGAGCTCTCCTCATACCAGAAGAAGATTATCGAAATTGACTCCCACATGGGCATCGCTATCGCCGGTCTTGCATCTGACGCTCGTGTGCTCTCCAACTACATGAAGCAGCAGTCACTCGGCTCTAGAATGACTTACGGCCGACCAATCCCCGTGGACCGCATCGTTACTCAGATCGCCGACCGCGCCCAAACAAACACCCAGCATTACGGTAAACGGCCGTACGGTGTCGGCCTGCTCGTCGCTGGCGTTGACGAAGCTGGCCCCCATCTATTCGAGTTCCAACCATCCGGTATGATCCATGAAATGCTGGCCTGCGCCATCGGAGCTCGTTCGCAGATGGCCCGGACTTATTTGGAGCGGAACCTGGACAAGATTACAAACAGTACCCGTGATGAGCTCATCACCCATGGTCTCCGGGCTCTCAAGGAGACTTTGTCCCAGGACAAGGAACTGACTGTTGATAATACTTCTGTCGGTGTGGTGGGTCTTGCCGGAGAGGAAGGAAAGGGAAAGATTGAGAGCTTCAAGCTTTACGAGGGTCAACAACTCGTACCGCTGCTAGAGGCTGTAGAGTCGGGAGAGACGAAAGAAGAGGAGACGATGGAGGTCGATTCGTAGGTTTCGAGGTTACGCCCATAGATATGAAAATATTGGTCATTGCAATGCTGGAGATTTGCAGCAGCTCCTCTCTCTTTTCTCGGATTGTTATACGCAGGCATTAGTACGAAATCGGGATAATACGACATTTACTCTCCAGACGCAGTGCGTTGTTCGTGTCATGAAATCGTAATTGGCGCTCTAGTCCTTCCCTTGTACTCTCCCTTCTAGCCTCTAACATATGACCAACGTTGATAACTCTTTATGCCGAGGATAGGCTAGAGTCTCGCGCCAGTAGGCTAACCAGCCAGCCTACTCCTCTCCCCAATTCAACTGCATCCTCCCATTGCTAATCTTGTAACCAACCAGCTTGGGCCAAACCTCACTGACATCCTTGCTTCAACCAAGATCTCGCCGTTCTCACGACTGATAAAGCCTTCTTGGACTGAGTTCTTCACCCATGCTAACACACCATCCCAATACCCATTGGCATTGAGCAACACCATGCCCAACTTATGGATTCCCAATTGATTCCAGGTAGTCATTTCCATAACCTCCTCGATAGTTCCGAACCCGCCCGCGAGCGCCACAAAGCCCGACCCCGGACCACCCTCGCGGACCTTCTCGGCCATCATGCGCTTGCGCGTGTGCATATCTGGAACGATGGTGGTACACCCGTACTCTGATTCCTTAAGCGTCCCGATCTTACCCATGGGCTCCTTGACGACCCGCTCTGCTTCTTTCCCGCTTACGACCGCAGAAGGGTTCCTCACCTCTTCGGCATTGTCATAACCGGGCTCGACTTTGACCAGAGCTCGAGGGATGATCCCGTGCACTGCTTGGGGCCCGGAAAGAGAAACAAGCGTGCGGGCCAATTCGCCCATGAGGCCTGCCGTGCCACCGCCATAGACGAGTTGGATGTTGTTCTTGTGAAACTCATATGCAAGGGCTCGGGCTGTTTCCAAGTGAATGGAGTTGCTACCGGAGACTGAGCCGCAGCTACAGGGTCCCGTCGTTGATCAGTACGGACTTCTTAAACGCTGGTTATAAGGCTGTCATTTGTTGCGATGTCCCGCGGATCATGGTGGGGGAGGGGCTGATTCACTCACAATACACAAACAACTGCAGGTTTGTCTTGCTGAACGCTCGCCAT